TCTTAAACATTCATTAATATTTATTAAATGCTATTGACAAACTGTGTTTCTTTCCCCGCATACTGTCAACCTGTCAGTAGCTTTAGTGATTAGTTGAAAACTTGTGGATGTGCTCAACTCATTCGGACGAACCCATTCAATAGAATAGATCATTCACCGGGGAACTGGACTGTGCTGTATGCATTTCACTCATTAAAAAAACTGATTCAAAGAGACTATAAAAGGGCTTTTTTAAAATTTGAAAATCATTCTAAATATCAAATACACATAATGCCTGATAACAGAGAACATTACTTCGATAATAGAACGTTCGAATGACTTTAACGTTGATGTGTTTTCATCACTATTTAGCATATTTTCCTTCAAATGCATGTGAATTTGAAGATGTTGGCAATAATCCAAGGAAATAAAAAATATTTAAAGAGCCCCTATTATAGATTTTTGAAAATGACTGCATGCTGTGTGTAACACAGCTTCAAGTGAAGTGAAATCTCCAGCTAAGGCTTAAATCTAAAAGTCAGCCATGTTTAAAACTATTAATTCATCTATAAAAGAGTTGACTCAGAGTGGTTCAAATGAATCATCGGGGTAAAGAATCTTTAGCCATGATGGCGTGACGTCGACATGGAACTCAAGCCCCGCCGTTTTGCTGCGTGCACAGACCCAGGAAAATTGAAACCCCAGCCATGCCCACAATTACTGTAGAAAGAAAAAGAGAAAAACAAACACTGTAGATGATTCTGGTTGAATCATGTCACGAAGATGCTGTGCTCTGAAGTTCGAGGGTAAGCTAGTGTTACTTTCCCTACCCAGAGATGAGGCTGTCAAGAGTCAGTGGTTGAAGTTGAAAAATGCCTCAGCATTGGCGACGCAGTGTTGCAGTAGGTATAGCTGTGCCTCACAGCAAGAAGCTCACTGGTTTGAGCCTCAGCTGGGTCAGCTGGTGTTTCTGTGTAAAGTTTGCATGTTCTCCTTGCGTTTGCATGGGTTTCCTCCGGGTGCTCCGGTTTCCCCCACAGTCCAAAGACATGCAGTACAGGTGAATTGTGTAAGCTAAATGTGTATGAGTGTGAATGACTGTGTGTGTGTGTGTGTTTCCCAGAGATGGGTTGCAGCTGGAAGGGCAATCTCTGTGTAAAAATGTGCTGGATAAATTGGTGGTTCATTGCGTTGTGGCGACCCTGGATTAATAAAGAGACTAAACCGAAAAGAAAATGCATGAATGAATGAATGAATACCTCAGCATTATCGCCCCAGCCTTGTGCTGTGTTCCCATCCTTTTTCTGACTATTGCTTCAGCAATCTATACGCTTACAACAGAGCATTCGTCAGCCGTTTGTTAAAGGAAGGATCAGAAAAGACTATTGATGTGTAGGACTTTGTCAGAGCTTGTTTCGTCATTGCTATGGCCACCATCAGCTGTTCCAACACACGTGCAGCGGTCAAGTTTCAAAATAGTTTAGCTTTTGCCACTGTGTGGATTAATACTGAATGTGTGTCATGGTTAAGAACAGAGCAATATACTGGAGATATTCCTGCATTGGGCTCACACATATGTTCTGCACTCTAACTACTTCAACAATGTTGATAAGCCGTGGTGGGCGTTTCTCTCTGTGTCACGCTGAAAACAGTCAACCAATCACAACAGACTGGGTCATGGGACCAATCAGGGCAGATTAGCTTCGCACTAAGGAGATGTTTGAGAACAAATAAATCGCTGAACGAATCATATGGGATTTGTTGGGGTAATTACGTAAAAATAAATGCATATTATAAGCCAATGAAAGTGTTTTTTGACCTTGAATGTATATTAGCTTGTTGTTGGAGACCCCCAAAACCAAAAAACTTATAATGCAAAAAAAATAAAAAAATACCCTCAAGTCTCACTATTTATATTAATCAGTAATTAACTGATTTTATTTGTTTAAACAAGCCAATATAAATGTGTTTTAGCCTCTTTAACAAAAAATAACTAAAGAAAAAAAAAAGAAATATTTATGTGCGTGTGTGTGTGTGTGTGTGTGTGTGTGTGTGTGTGTGTGTGTGTGTGTGTGTATATAAATATATAAACTCCACACATAAACTCCAACTGACACAGCCAGGGCTAGAACCAGTGACCTTCTTGCTGTGAGACGACAGCACTACCTACTGCACCACTGCGTCACCCTCTTAAACAGATGTTAAAAATAAATGATAGGCAAATATCAGTTTGTCAAAATTTATTTTTAATCTTGTTAAAAATACATATTTAATTAATTCTAAGATAAGTTTAGTTTAAATTTGTCCATGAAATCGACACGTTCTTCCATCTGGCTGTGATTTGGGACTGATTTTGTTGCACTTTCTATCAGTGTCCCATCTATTGTGAACAGACAAATCACTTGTGGCTGGAATCTTATCGTGTCTGGTTAGGAGGAGACAAAAATGCCTGCTAGCAACCAACAGCATAGTAACCCAAGACCTCAGAATATCTTTGTAGAAGTCTTAAAAAAGAACATTTGAGCTGATCAGCTATATTCTTCATAAATCAAGCATGTTTTCGACCCGCTATTCAAATTATGCTTTTAAATAAAAGATGCACACACCTGCATTCAACAGATCTGGTTTAAATAGAATGATGCATGGCACATACTGTAACGTGTGCCACATGTTTAATTGATGCATGCATGTGTCATTGCATTCACTGAGCTCTGCCAGCATGAAGTCGGTGTAAATATTGCAGTTTTATGGCTCTTCTGCTGAGATGGAAGCCTAGGACGACACTATGAGGTACAGCCTCAAGATGTGAAATCTATAATCCATTAAATTACGGGAGCACTCCTGACTAACCATAGCCATCAGATAATGCAGATGTCAAAATATGACTCGCTGCGCCCCAGCGTATATCTAATCTGAACATACAGCAGAAATTAATGGACTGTTGAGACATACCAAAACCGAAAGATCAGTCCGTTGTCACGAGCAACTCTCACCATTGCGAGGGAGTAAAAGTTGTGAATTCTGTACGTCTTGGTCATTAAATTCTAATAATATCATACAGTGCTGCATGAATAAACATAACCTCATGCATGATTGGTGTTGCAGAAGCATTCAAATTACTGGGAGGAAGAAAAATCGTCCAAAACCAAGTGAGCTTTCAGCGCTAAGGCATTACAGGCACAATTTAGATGCAATAAATATAAATGAATTAATAAATAAATGAAAACATTCCAAATGGTAGACAGTTTGTGCACTGTGGTAAATTATATGACTAAAAGGCATGACAACAAATGCTTTTATGTTACTTTAAATTATTTAAATTATTTAATCAGGTTTCAACTTCCTATTTTACTAATATAAGGTTTAACTTAATACATTTATTTTTCAGTTTGACTAATGGAAGTTGAGGTGACTTGAACATTTTATTTAAGTAAACATTTCAAGGCAGTATGTTTTTTTACAGTGTAGTTTTTCTCTGACATACATTAATTTAGTCAAATTTTCTAACAGCACTTTTTGTTATTGCTTCGTAGAGAAACTGATATAATAATCTCTGTTAAATAGTGGCGGTTTTAGGCATGGGCAATATGGGCGATCGCCTGGGAGAGCATCTTGCTGGGGGCGGCACAGGGAGACAATACAAAAGAAAGAAAACAAACTTGCGACTTTGAGAAACGATTTACTTTATGCAGGTGTATTAAGGAGTGATAATCTAGGAATAAAGACTCATCTAGTTTGGTAACTGTAAGTTGTGATGACAAAAGCAAATACAAGTTATGGTGTATTTAGTTACATCAAGTTGTCATAACAAATATATCTTAAACAATGTCACCTTATATTATTTTTATGATTATGAGGTGTAATGAAAGTCTTATGAACACCCCTTTAAGTAAAGTGTTACTGACCATTTAATACTATTCACAAATACAAATGATTGTCTGTCATACAAATCTGATTACTGACAACCCTATATTTGGAAACCGATAATCATTATGTAGGCCAATAAATACAAATCTTCACAATGAATGCTGAAGATTATCTGTCATGAAAAAAGGTGTTTTGCTTTTTCGCTGTACCATGATTTTGCTTGCATTAGCACATTAAAATGACAAAATGTTGCAGAATTTTAAACAGCAACATTCAATTATATCAAATAATTTTGATTAACACTAGAACTACCAGAATTCTATAACTACTAGAAATATAGTAATTCTGACCATTTTCATATAAGACATTGTTACGTCAAATTTACATTTAAATCTTCTATTGAGGTATTCTGTGTAACAAGGTGATTTTGGCAACAGAGATGAAGATCCACGTGCATTTTATTAGAGAAAACCGTAAGGCAGCCAATAGTCAAAAACAGGAGCATAAAGGTAATCCAAAATCGTGGTCAGAGTAACAGGCGAATGGTCTGGACAGGCAGCAAAACAACAGTAACAATAAACAAAACAAAGGTCAAAAACAAGGGAAGGCAAGACAAGGATAACACTTAAATGCTGCTCTAAACAAAAACAAGACTCAGCAATGTGTCTGAGAATGAGAGCAGTATATATATATATATATATTCCATGTAATCAGTGTGTGTGAGGTGCGTCATGGGAATTGTGGTTCATTTCAGTGGTAGAATTGTAGTTCTCTAATGATCTGAAACTGCTAGATCGCTGGTGATCACAACAGTCTGTCTTAATGTTTATTATAGCCATACCCTAAAAATACAATATATTTGGTAATACAGTATTTAGGCTACCAGACCACTAGCGAAGGCCTGCACCTCACCTTTATTTTCACTTTCGTAAGCAGGGGAGATGGCTTTTATCTATTTTTAGATGTGTGTTTTTTTTTTTTTCAACAAAGTTATTAAATTACAAAAATTAAAAATGGTCATAATGACCGCCTTGGTAGTTTCTAATGTTAAATCAAAGACCATGTGAAGGCATGTTAAATCAAAGATACTACTACTGTAGGTTTTGAAATGAGATTGCAAAAAACTGGAGCAGAAAATGAAAGCAGACCCATACCTGTACTGAGGGGCAGGAATGCCCTTTGCATCACAGGCCAGTGTGGCTTCTTCCTCCAGTGAACCCACTGTCAGATCACTGGGCTCCATTCTCCATTTTGGCCCATTGAATGACTTATAATCCAGACAATCTGAGGGGAGAGAAGTGAATACAATTACATACTTGTTTTGAAAAACACAGTTTAAGCTAAAATGCATACATTTTTAAAGTAAATACTCTAAGCAATGAAGAGATCTGTGTGAAAATACTGATCTGTGCAAGCTCAACCAATGGGGTGAGTTTAGTGACAGGACCAATGCATGACTCATTTGATAAATAGCTAATAAAAGATTGTTTAAAAAGTCACTGTATTTTCTACATGGATTTTTTTATTTGATTAATATTTATAGGGATTTCTTATGGACTATTTATTTGTGTACATGAAAAAACAACAATCTTCAAAACAATAAAACAATTTTCAATAATCTAAATCATGTGAAAATCTTTTTTTCTTTGTTGTTGTTGTTGTTCAAGATGCCATTTCATTTACATTATGCATCAGAATAAAGACTAAAACATGTTTGTAATTTTTAAGTTCATGTCAACTTTAAGAAGTGTTTTGCATTCCCTCAATTTGTATCCCTTAATTAAAAGGCGACCTACACAAAACATTTCCCAAAGATCTAAAAACAAACCAAATAAATAAACAAATAATTTAACATTTATTATTTTTTTCTGAGATTTGGTAGAGCAGACTTTCAGTGAAGTGAAAGAAATCTCTCAGATTTTATAAAAAATGTCTTACTTTGTTTTCTAAAGATGAATACATTTCTGACAAGTTTGGAATGATGTGACAATTTTCATTTTTAGGTGAACTCACTCTGTAAACATGAAAATTATATTTAGTCAACCTCATGTCATGTCCAAGCCGCATGAAATTTGTTAATCTTCAGAAAAGATGAAGACTATTTTTAATCAAATATGAGAGATTTGTGCCCCTCCATTGCAAGTCTATTCATTTAAAACTTTGACGCCTCAAAACATTTGTAAATTGTTTGGATAATAAAAAAAGAAAAAGAAAATTAACATGAATTCAATATTTGATCCATTTACAAATGTTTTAAAGCATTTGAGTTTTGTGTTAACAGCCTTTCAATGGAGGCACAGAAATATCTCAGATTTAATTAAACACATCATCATTTGTGTTCTGAAGATTAACAAATTTCTTAGAAGTTTGGAATGACATAATTTCCATCTTGAGGTTAAGGTAACCCTTTATAGTTGACATTTTTGTCATAATATTCTCGTACTCTGGAACTTATAAAATATTTTCCAAACTTTTTCACAACACAGACTAATTTGAAATAAGAGCTTCAGTCTACATATTTGTAAAACCAATTAAACGTACTTAAATATACATTTGACTGCAGTTTTTTTTTAAAGTAAAATAAACACTACAGGGAAGTATGATGACACAAATTTTAGGTACTTTTCATGCCTCACAGGGACATGATATTAACAAATACATTTTTCAGAATTCTACCACTTCAGTCTTGTTCATTCTATTTTAGGTGGCAGAGTCCGGACACTAGTCCTGTCTTTTCTAGTATGTTGTGCTCGGCTCGAGTTTTCTCTAAAAAAGCTTTTGTGTGTGTGTGTGTGTGTGTGTGCGTGTGTGTGTGTGTGTGTGTGTGTGTGTGTGTGTGTGTGTGTGTGTGTGTGTGTGTGATCCAACAAAGTAGTTTATAGGTAAAATTATTTTTTATAATAAAAAATATAGAAACTACAAAATTAGATATCTTTTTATTAAAAAGGTTGTTACATTGTCCCCTGTAATCTCCCTGGAATAATACAGTGCACCGGGAAAGTATATATATATATATATATATATATATATATATATATATATATATATATTTTTTTTTTTTTTTTTTTTTTTTTTACAGCCTTATTCAAAAATGGATTAAATTCATTTATTTCCTCAAAACTCTACACACAATACCCCATAATGACAATGTGAAAAAATAAATATATATTTTTTACTTTGTAAATTTACTAAAAATAAAAAATCTTAAAAATCACATGTACATCAGTATCAGTAGCATCAGTAGGACCTTATAATGACAGGTCTATGCTTTTTTTAAATCATGTCCAATCAACTGAATTTAGAGCAGGTGAACTCTACGTAAGCTGCTGAAACATCTCAAGAATGATCAGTGGAAACAGAATGTACCTGAGCTCAATTTAGAGCTTCAAGGCTGTAAATACTTGTGTACATGTGCTTTTTCAGGTTTTTTATTTTTAATAAATTTGCAACAATTTAAAAAAATCTTTTTTTTCACATTGTCATTATGGGGTATTGTATGTAGAATTTTGAGGAAATAAATTAATTTAATCCATTTTGGAAAAAGGCTGTAACATTAAAAATTTGGAAAAAGTGAAGCGCCATGAAGACTTCCCGGATGCATTGTATATATTGAGATTTAATATGGGAAAAAAAATATGGTCTTCGCAACAAAAATATTTCCTCACCGACAAGGTCAAATAAGTGTATTTTAAATTAATCAACAAATTGTATCCTATTAAACAATTGTTTAGTTCTACTATTTAAGTTTAGTTCTACTATTTATGCAAAATGTTCATTTTTGTCAATGTCATACTGTTTTTTATTTATTTTGGGATTGTAATTATGTTGTACAATTTTTGAAACAGATTGGCTCCTTTATTAATGATAATATACAACAAGATATTTTTGTTACTTTTAAAGAAATTATTTTGGTTATTATGAATCTGCATCTACTAAAAGAAATGCTTGTTTTATTGTAAATTTAATTTCTTTTCTTTATAAATTCCATATCCACAAATGCAAATTTACCAAATTTTCTTGTTTTTTTTTTTTGGAAGAATTTAGTCATTGTTTAAATTTCATTTCATTATCTGAAAATATGAAGGAAAACAGAATTGTTTTATTTTGTAATGACTTTAATTTATATAGTGTAATTGATTCTTAAATATCTTACCCTTAACCTCTTAAGGGCCAAGGTGTTTTTACAAGCATTTTTAGTTCTCTTTGGGCTCTTTCTCTTTCTATTTGGGCTTATTGGAACCTAATTAGAATAAAACTTAATTATCATCTTTTAATATGATGTACTTTTAGAGAAAATTAATGTCCATATACATGGACTCGTAGTCCGAATTTACATAAAGCATTTTTCCTGACTGTTTTTAATGCTTATATAACATAGAATTATTTTAGACTTTTTGTTTGACTATCAGAGAGTAAAAACATTTTTCCCCATTTTGGACAGTTTAAAATAGTTAAGGACATTTCATATGCTGCAAAACATTTGCAGGAAGACATTGTATGTCTGTAATAAAATATAAAACATTCAATATATTTTAATTAGCCATTAACACTAAGCCCTACACCTCATTCACAAGGGGCGTCAGCTTCAACGCTTCCCATTCACTTTGAATGGGTGATGTCAGGCGTTGGAGAACTGCATTGTGGATCCGTTGGCGCCACTTCAGAGGCATTGCTCACGGCAGAAGCTGGGACTTGCTTAACTTTTCAAGCGCTGACCAAGCAACAGCCAATCAGATGGCTGTATGCAAATACACCAGCCAAGACAGTGGTATATTGCTGACTAATTTCATTGGCTGACGCTGCTACGACAATCGTATCAGCCCCAACTTCAGACACGCCCTCTGTTAAGCGTTGACGCTGAAGCCCCGTGTGAATGGGGCTCTAGGAGGTTAAGTTTATATCATGTTCTTTATTATTATTTTTATTTATTTTTTCTTTCTTTTGTATCTTTTTTCATAGACAATGAAATTCATTTTCTATATTGTAAACAAATATTGATACAAACATGTCAACTGTTTTTTGCAAATAAAATATTATTATTATTATTATTATTATTATTAATAATAATAATAATAATAATAATAATACTACTACTAATAATAATAATAATAATAATAATAAACAAAAATGTTTGGTTACCAACATTTTTCAAAAGATAGTTTGTTTTCTGTTGAAGAAAGTCAAACGAGTTTATAAAGACGACGATGAGTAAATGATGACAGAATTTGCACTCTGGGTGGAACAGTCCCTTCAAGCCTTTTGAAATAGAAGTTGGTGTGTAAATATTCTGCAGACAACAGCACTTGCACAGTAACACGAGTGCAGAAACGCGAACCATATGTGGTGAGATCACACCAGGTGTGTGGGTTCCAATCAAGTGCTATGCTCGCATCGCTCAGTGTCTGCTTAAGATGGCATCAGAGCAGCAAAATCACAGCATTTTAAGTGTGACATTTGTTTGCAAAATGAAAACTAAGAAGCTTTTGTATGACATTTGCATTGTGCACACTGAAGTCACACTCAAAAATGCAGTATCTTTCTGTTTTTAATCCTCTCCTCAAGTCTTATCCTCCGCTCGGCTAAACTGAACGACTACTTTCAGTGCAGGGATGCAAACTCATCAGGGGTGAAAAAGCTGACAAAGGCATGGAATCCACACCCCTGCTGTATGTAGGGGATAATCCAGGGCTATCTGTGCATTAAACAATTTGTATGCGCGACGTGCTGCCAAAGAAGCACCAGACGCACAGTAGACTTGCCCCACAGAGTGTATATCTAGCTGTGGATTATCACGCTTATACCATGGCTATTTGCCAGCACTGACAAGTTAAAGCTGTTAATGAGGTCTGCAGCACTAAATTTGACCGGAAGGATAAAAATGACGGTTATTTTCATCAGTCACGGCTTGTTAGATCTAGCCTTACACTTCATATCAGACACACAGACGAAGTAGGGCGGTAAGATCGTATTTATTTAAATGAATTAAAGCATTAATTTGAATTAAACATCGAGAGTGGGAGAAAGATGAAAGTTGCATGTGTGAATTCTTGTGACATTTCTTTCAACAAGCAATGAAGCCATGAGCTTAGTTGATTCAAAACTGTGATTTTACACCCTAGATTGTGCTATATTCCCATCAAATTTACCATTTACATATATTTATTAAACATGCATGCTCCATAATGTATTAATTTCAATTGAATAAAAATGACAGATATCCTTCTAACCATTAAAACGGATACACAGTCAAATTAAATAAAATCAAACAAGCAGATGTGAACAAT